ATATATATATATAATAAACATATATTACAGATAAATGAGTAAACGCCACGTTTATTTCGAATTCGTGCAGTAGTTGTAAGTTGTGGTTCTCAGAATTCACATACGATATTCATCACGTAACGCTATTATTTATGTATGTACATATAATACGCGATCGTGATTTCATGCGAATGAAATATGGTCCGGATTACATGAAAAAGAAAGAAACAGGAATAAGATTGACTATCTCTGAGAGATAGTCTGTAGACGATTTAAAAGATTCCGCCACACTGCTATTCCTTTATAGCGAACCCGATATGAAAGAAAAAGGGGTAAATACAATTGTATCACCATATAGCTCTAAGACTATTTTTTAGAATTACACGCATAATATATAAATTGTACAAATTCATTTATCGTCTCGTGCTCACAAAGCTCTAACGATTACGATTCTATTTACTTATGCGTTATTTTAATCACATAAATAAATTTTCTATGAAATTGTTTATAATCGACAAAACTCACATTTAGGCATTTAGATTGTAAGGAACGAGCAGAGAAGTCTCTGCTATGTATATATACACAACACATACAATTACACATATGTGAAGAAAAGAAAGGTTCTCGAGGAGAGGCAATTGTAGAATTCTTTGATTTTCAACAGGGTGTCTACTCCCTGGAAAAACATGGAAAACCTGAAACTCTCAGGAAATTTTTTTATACCTGGAAAAATCAGGGAATTCTCATGGAATTTTGTTGGGATTTAGGGAATTTAAAAAAAATTCTCTCTTTGATTTTATTCTTATATTGTAAACAGTAGCACCGACGAGATATCATTAAAGACCAGTGGTCTTATGGAATTTAATGTGACTGGAACAAAAACATTCGCTGCGCGTTATTTTAGTTCATCCACTTATTGTTTTATTATCGAAAATGTATAGATCTTTTATGTAACTGCCTCAAGAACAACAAAATAAACATTTTATTGTAGAATTATTGCGAGTTTTTTTTTCAGTAATATACTAAATTCCATAAGACCATCAGTCTTTAATGATTTCTTGTCGGTATTTTTGATAATAAAACAATAAATGGATGAACTAAAATAACCGTATGAATTAAATAATTCGTGTAATTATTTTTGATGCAAACAACCGTAATGTCAACATTCTTCAATTACCTCCGGGCCCACTAGGCCCACTTGATGGTCACAAAAAGTTACCCAGGGCTAACGGCTTTTAATAGTATCTTGTCAGTGGCAGTAGACAAATCCGCTATTAAGTCATGTTGTAAATTATGTGTTTAAAATATATTTATATATCTATTTCTGTTTATATATTCAATATCTTAACAAAATATTAAATATGCAATACATATTTTTTATTTTAATTTTTAGTGATAAAAAATTAAAATATTATGCAAGTTAGAAAATTTTATCTTAACAAAAGCTATTCGATTTTATTTTTAGTACATTTGGAAAATTAGCTGAAACTTAAGTGGCTTTGTGTTTTTTCTTCGTAATGAAAAGCATTAGAAAACGCGTACAATAAAAAAAAAAAACTTATTTTAGGAAATTGACTAAAAATGTTTAAATTATTTTCTTTCTGGAAATTTGAGCAAAAATACCTGGAAGATCAGGAAATTTCCAGGAAAATTTTTTACAGGATTTGAGTAGATTTGAGTAGACACCCTGTTCAAGAAAGGAGAAAATAAAAAACCAATGAAAAATATTAAGGTTTATTCAGTGAAACATAGTCTTAAAACATGATATAAGTTGCTATACCTTTTTAATTTGTATACAATAATAAGTTTTGCTAAAAAAGAAAAAATCTTATTCCACGCATACAAAGTCCAAGGTGATGATATAGAACATATATCATGACGGACGTATCTATGTAATATTTAGAGATTTTCACAGACTTCTATAAATTTAAGATTATATTTTAAACTTTTTTATTTTATTATTACTCAGGTACAAGTTTCATGCGTTTTATCAATGAGATAAATATAATATATATATTATTAATATGTATATATTATATAATCAAATTTATAGAAGCTATGAATAAATCTCTAAATTTTACATAGATGCGTCTGTCATGATGAATGTTCATCACCTTGGATTTTGTATGCGTGGAACAAGATTTTTTCTTTTTTAGCAAAGCTCATTATTTGATTGGAAAAAATATGAAACCTTACATTTTATTATCCTACATCATCAATATATTCATCATATATCCTACATTATTCTATTATCCTTCTAAATACAATGCTTATTCCAATAAAAAATTATTTTTTTATATTCCATATACATTTTTGTAAGTAATTATATGTATCCCTATGGCTGTGTATGCAAATGTATATGTGTATATTTTTTATCATTATTATCATTATTTAAATTACTATTACTATTATTTGGGATATTCGGAATGTCAGAGACTCTTGAAGTCTTATTTATTGGAATCTCATTGGGTTTTCCTCTTATACGAGAATGTTTCTGATTCTGTCTTTGATTTATCGCATCTTGTTCTGCAGAAAGTGGTCGGTTTCGGTGTTTGTGCTGCTAGTAGCTTTTGGACCTACCTATTAAATTAAATAAATATAATTAAATTGAAGTCGATATTGGGGTAAGATTCCAAAATAGAATCCAGATATACGAGCAGGAAGAATACTGTGGTATGGGAACGTGAGTGGCTCACATTGGCTAGCGACAAGTTTGTCGACTAGAGCGAATTTACTTTACATATTTGACGAAAACATAGATAGTTATAATTTTAATGTATTTTTTTATGTCATTTCCGAAAGTCTTACTAAAATTTTCTTCTTCATTTTTGAGAATCATGTATTATAAAGAATTATGAGAGAAGAAAAAAGTTATACAAATTAAATAATAAGAAATATACGCGAATTTCATGTTTGCGCAGATCCTGGAAGTGGCGAATGCGAGAGTCACGTGACCGTTAATGAGAAAAATTGGTATTAAATTTAAATCTGCGCGCGCGCACACTTACGTGCTACGTTTCTCACAAGCTCGTAAAGGAATGTGTGTGTATAAAATGCTTATTGTTGATATAACATATTACATAAATACTTAATATACATCTCAAGCGTGAAGGCTACATTTCTTAATAGAATTATATTACATGAATATCTTAAAAATAATGCATAGGAGATGAAGAAGAATAGAGATTGCGCGAATGCATTTCTCTATATATTTGTATATGTGTGTACATACACATATATACTCAACAAATACAAGAAGCGCCGAGAGATCAATATCTGTATGGCGGTAAGAGAGGAGCGGTTTCGCGCCGTGTGATGTGTGATCGTTCGTGCAGCGATTGAAAAAAAAAGAAAATGGCATGCGGCTTTTCTCGCTGGTGGACGAAGCAACGAAGGTGTACTTCCACGAGGTGTCCTTATTGAACGGCGACCAAATGCCGAGGATCACGTTAATGATCCAACGAACGGTCTGACAGAAGAGCCAGCGGGAGACTTGACAGCGACAGACCGGTCGGGGAGACAACTACGTGCTTTGCAACGCGACAGCGATTAATAATCACCATGGCGAAGTATGATCGCGTAATTGGCAGCTTATCTAATTAGAGTATACACATATCTACGCAACACGTACACACACACTGTCGGTAGAAGGTGTATATGCAGCGATAACGCTCTGTTTACTTTTTTTCTCTGACCCAGTAATTACATGCAACTGTGTACAATGATTCTCCTTGGGTCTTCGCAAAAGAGGATGTCTTATTGTTAGAGACAAGATTTTCTCGATCCGAGCTACCACTGGAACGCGCTTCTCCAGCGGGCAAGTTCAGACTCGCTTTGAGCGAGCTACTGACTTGCCGAGCAATCAAATTCCCTGTGACATGTACTTGTATATGTTCCATATACTTGTATATGCCACTTGTATCTTAATCTTATCTCTGTTCCGATACATTGTATCGGTTACTGATACCGTCTAATTGACGATCATTCACTTATAAATGAATCACTCAGTCATGCACTAAAACTGAAACACTCCGCAGAACTCTACAAAATCTCTGTGTTGCATTAAGCAATTTTGTTACAATGAAAGACTTTAAGATACAGTCGCTGTCAAAGTATTTAGATAGATTAAGTTTGGATAAGCTACACAAATTTTGCAATCAAGAACAGAAAGTAAGCTAGTCTTTCTCTGAGAGTTATGTAATAATATAATTCATAATTCATCATGTTCAACAAACCTTATTTTGCTTTCCTAAAAGAGAGTTTGTTTATATATCATTATTGATATAATATTTAAAAATTTATCCTCTATATTATATTAGACTTTTTAAATTATCTTATATTTTATATTGAAACAACAAATAAGATGTTTGTTATAGAATTAAAAATAATACCTTTTTTGTTTCAGAGAGATGATGATAGTATTTGTTTACGACACTGCAAAGTGTTGTAAAGAAGAGGATGATCCTGCTG